TTGAGAGGGCTGAGATCGAAGGATGGAATGTCGTCTTCCCTTGTCACTTTAGGCTTCTCAGCAGCTTCGGTTGTCAGTTTTGGAGCCTCTTCTCGAACAACATCATCTGACACCGTTTTCTCGCTGTCGGTTTCTGCAGTCTTTTGCGCAGCTTGTCCTGTATTCCCTTCTTCTGTTGTTTCCTTATCAACATCCATTGGATCTGCTGTTTTGGTAGCTCCTTTTTCTTCTGTTTCTTTTGCAGATGTCTGTTCTGGAACTGCTTTCGGGGTGTCCTCTTGTTGTGGTGTTCCCTGATTCAGACCTTCTTGAACAGATTGTGCTGGTGGTTCTGTTGCAACTTTCCCCAGTGGATCTCCTTCTTGGATGCTTTCCCTATCCACAGCTCCTGGAGCAGAATCATCTTGCTCCTTTTCTTTTGCCTTCGGTGTAGATGCAGCAAGATCAACTGTAGATGGTTGTGAATCATCTTCTTTATGTGTTTGCTCCTCGTTCTCCTCTTCGTTCTGGTCTATCTTTTTCTGTTTGAATATTTCATTGAGTGTTTTATTCAAACTGGCATTAATTTCTTCATCATTCTCTTCTTCATCATCTTCACAATGAGATTTTTCTCCTTCTGTGGGCTGAACATATTCGTCACAGCTTTCTTTCGCAAGATTCTCCTTGTGTCTGATCAGATTGTCAATTTGGCTTTTGTACTGGTCTTTGATTGCTTTCATCATTGCCTTCATTGATGCTTCAAGCAGTTTGATTGCATTCTCAGCCTGCATAATGGGAGTTTTTGTAAGATACCATGGTGGTAATGTGTGTATTGTGTATGGTTAGTTACCATGGTGGTAATACATGGTATTGGCAATTATTATCAATATCCTGCATTTTTATAACATGAAACCATATCTTACCATACCTTACCATATGGTAACAAAGTAAAACAGAACAAGAATTATGGTTTCCTCCATTTTTATAACATGAAACCATTGCTTACAACACATTACCATATGGTAACGAAGTAAAACACAACAGGACTTATGTTTTCCTCTATTTTTATAACATGAAACCATAGCTTACCACGCCTTACCATATGGTAACAAACTAAAACACAGAAGGACTTATGGTTTTTTGCTATTTTAAAACATGAAACTATATCTTACCACACCTTACCATATGGTAACAAAGTAAAACAGAACAAGAATTATGGTTTCCTCCATTTTTATAACATGAAACCATTGCTTACCACACATTACCATATGGTAACGAAGTAAAACACAACAGGAATTATGTTTTCCTCCATTTTTATAACATGAAACCATAGCTTACCACACCTTACCATATGGTAACAAACTAAAACACAGAAGGACTTACGGTTAGCATGAATTGGACAACTGTAATATAGATAATTTGTACTTACTTGGTTGACTGTTCTGATATTCTTCAAATCAAAGTTCAGTGATGATGACTGGTCTGGACTTTTGTTTCTTTGTCTTTTCGGTGACTGATAGACCGGCTCATTCTCCTCTTCCTCATCAGTTGCATCATGAGCCTCATTGTCACTAATGTTGGCAACCTTTTCGATCTCGTTCAACTCTTTTCCATTGTAGTAGCTCTTAATGTTCTCAAAGTTGCTTTCAACATTGTTATCATCATAGTAGCTTACTGTTGGTGTTCGAAGCTGGGTTGAGAATGCCATTTCGTCCAGTTTGTACATGAAGCATACCTTTTTATGCAGATAGTTGTATTAGTTTTCTCAAAGAGTATCATTTATATATAAAATATATGAGTAACAAGGTTGAAATGGCCAAGGGAATGGAGACTTACTGTAAGGAAGTGAAGATCTGCACTGACGTAGAGGGTTGGTGATTTCAATCCTTCATTCATCTGTTTGAAGAAGTATTTGCACCAGTTGTAGCTGGTGAAATATTTCAGTTCATCAGTCTTCAAGTACTCAAGCATGTTGAGTTCAGCCATAGGGGCTGAAGTTGGGCACAGCAAGCCTCCGGTGACCAGCAAAAAGAACAATTGTAACCATCTCTTACTGTTTGTAGTTGTAGGAAGATCTTTTTCTACCTGACTTAGCTTTACCTTTGGAGTGGATGTTCCATCTACTTCCAGTAGGGTTTCTATTGCATAATCTGCTGCGTCGTCCCAAGAAATCATGGGAGGTACAACTTCCCTATTCCCCATCGGCAGACCATATACCCTATGAAAGTCGATTGGTGATATCTTCATGCGTGTCCCGTCAGGTAGCTTGAACGATTCTTTCACTGGATTGTATTTGTTCATTACGAACAGTGCAAAATGGTTGTTTATCTTTGTCTGCTTGATTGATATTAAGCCTGCTAGGCCTAATATCTCAAGTTGCGCTTTCTGCTCATCTTTTATTGTCCTTGCAATTGCAGATACTCTTGTGGGGCTGCACCTTGTGCGAAAACTTTTTCTTTGGTTTACCATAGTGTACCTGAATGTAGAAATTAGGAATAGTCTGTTAGCATGTTTTTTACCATAATATATCATATGGTATCATAATGGTTTCCTACCATACCAAATCAAACCATATATTTATCACATTTTACCATATGGTAATTACATGAAACCATGTCTTATAACATCTTACCATATGGTAACGAAGTAAAACACAACAGGACTTATGTTTTCCTCCATTTTTATAGCATGAAACCATAGCTTACCACACATTACCATATGGTAAAAACTAAAACACAGCAGGACTTATGGTTTTTTGCTTTTTTACAACATGAAACCATATCTTACCACACATTACCATATGGTAACAAACTAAAACACAGCAGGACTTATGGTTTTTTGCTTTTTTACAACATGAAACCATAGCTTACCACACATTACCATATGGTAACAAACTAAAACACAGCAGGACTTATGGTTTTTTGCTTTTTTACAACATGAAACCATAGCTTACCACACATTACCATATGGTAACAAACTAAAACACATCCGGACTTATGGTTTTTTGCTTTTTTACAACATGAAACCATAGCTTACCACACATTACCATATGGTAACAAACTAAAACACAGCAGGACTTATGGTTTTTTGCTTTTTTACAACATGAAATCATAGCTTACCACACATTACCATATGGTAACAAACTAAAACACAGCAGGACTTATGGTTTTTTGCTATTTTACAACATGCAATCATAGCTTACCACACATTACCATATGGTAACGAAGCAAAACACAGCATGACTTATGTTTTTTTTGCTATTTTACAACATGCAATCATAGCTTACCACACATTACCATATGGTAACGAAGCAAAACACAACAGATTCTACATCAGTTCAGCAACGCATGGTAACAATTCGGTAATTTAGCGAGTTTACTACAATTTTCACATGAAGAGTGACTGAGATACTGTTTCTATTGTTCTGTGGATGGATTTCGAAGAAAGAAATGAGGTTTTACCTTGATATTTTGTGCGAAAACGATTTTTGAGCCTCGTTGAAGTTGGAAACCCTTCGTTTTTCGACAAAGAAGCGAGAACAGTGTATCGTTGAATGATTCTTCGAAAACCTTTGCGAAAATCGTTCGATTTGAAGTTTATTTTGTGTTTTTTTCTGGAAGTTTTTGCTGCGATTTTGGTGAGAGAATTGAGGATCGGGAGGAAGAATGGAGAGTTAGAGAGCAGAGGGAAGTGGAACTGTCGCTTGAAAGGTGAGAGAAAGAAGGAGAGAAGGCGAGACGGTTGTCGTTGTCACGTCTGCAATTCAAATTGTTAGAGACGTGATTACTATTTTGCCCCCGCGTGTATTGAATTTGCCTGATCTGACGGCTGGAAAGATGGCGCGATGGACGGTGAGATGGATGGTTACTGACCGTTACTGATAGGTCGGTTACTGAGGTGATCCGGACCCCAAGATACTCCACCATGCTACTTACCTTGTGAAGCATCTATAATCTAAGTCAAATTTTGTGCCAGTTTTTCATTGAGCGGGACTCTATTGTGTCTTAATTGCGTCCATAAATTTTCGGAAAGCTAATTTCGAGTTGGACTCACTATGCATTATCATAATTTCTCATTTTTGTGATATGGGGATTGATAATTGTATAATCATATGCGAAACTTTGTTTTAAGAATGTATGTGTTAAGAGAACCAGACCATCATAGCAACTGGGCTAATTAACTGGGCTTGCGTATCTTTATTATTTTAGTATTAGTAATAGTTTATTATTATTAGTTTTCATTAGTGTTTTCCTTGTTTAAGTAGGATTTGGGGTATTGTTAGTTGTTTTCTTGTAGGAGTAGGAGTCATGTTTTAGGTAGGAGTAAGGAGAGGTTCTAAGCCTATAAATATGCACTCATTATTTCGTTTAATGTCACGAGAAGATTGAAACCCAATTCAGTTTCTTGCTTTGTTGTTTCTTTAGTAGTTTTCGTAGTATTTTGTGGTTGATCTCGCCATCAAAGAGGTCCTCTACTCAAGAACGTTCGAGCAACGTTTCCAAAGTTTGTGTGCGTAGGTTTTAACCAGGATATATGAGTTTATGTTGAGTTGATTCTTCTTGAAGGTTAGTCTTTGGAGGGGAAGAACTATCAGATACCACGTTGTCCAATTGCATATTCAAAAATTTGACAGGTAATGTTTTGATCCACACAAACTCATGTAGACATAAGGAGCGAATCAAATTTGACATACTATTGTCGTTATTCTGTAATTCAATTGATTAAAACAAAATATCAAATACACATTAGATACTTTTTTTATATTGTTTTTATTGCGAATGTGATCAATTTTTTCGTCTAACTAAATCTTACTAACCCCAAAGTTCGAACAAGAACAATTTTACATTCAAAATTGTTAAACTCATCTATTTCTTGTTCAATAGGCAAAATCCTAAACTCACCAAACAAAGGCCTCCAAGCCGGACTGCCGGTGTTCGGGTACGGTGTACTTGAACCCGGAAGCGTACCTGAAATTGGGCGGACATCAACCCGTATTCAAACCGACCCGTTTCAGCATCAGAGGATTTCTTGCGTGAGGGTTTAAAATAAATATATAAAGCTCTCATCTCTGCCAAAAATCAGAGAAAAGCAACCAAAACACTCCGATTCGCTCCATTCCAGTTCTAGGGTTGCCTTTCTTCGTCCATCTACAGTCTCTCAGAGCTTCCATCCGATTCAGAATGGTGAGAGCTCGGCGCGTTTCTGACAGATCTGAGCGCTATAGCTTCTTCTTCTCTCTCGATTGGAGCGCCGGCTCCGCTGTTGGTTCTCGTTCACCGTTGTTTGATATCCTCTTCTCTTATTTTGTGCGAATCGCAGGGCAGTAGTGCGAATTTGGAGGCGGCGATAGAGCGGTTGCAGAATGCGGAGAAGCAGTCCAGGCTCGCCGGCGAGGTCGCCGCCACGAGGCAGGCCGTCACCGAAATTCTGGAGCTCTGCTTCCAGGCTAAGGACTGGAAGTCGCTGAACGATCAGATATTGATCCTCTCTAAGAAGCGCGGTCAACTCAAGCAGGTAAATTGAGAACTTGGTGGATTTTAGCTGCTGGCTCGTTGTTTGCACGGAGTAGAGATTTAGCGGTTGCTTTTAGCTGAATGCCAGTCTAGGAGCTGAAACTTTTCCGCAATTGCTTCAGCTGGAAGGGGAGTTAGCTGTCATTGGGGTGCCTGCTTAGTTACTGTTACTTAGTTTGGCGTTTCTTAGCTCGTTATCCTTTGACTTTGGGCTTCCTGTGATACCAACTTAATTCTTAATAATCTTGATGGGAGATTCGATGATGTCGTGATAGAAGCTAATTAGATATGTTCATGCTGAGGATTTTTTGGTGCAATGATCTCTCTTGTATCCACAATGATAGCGGTACATGTTTGGATCACCATGTAAATTCCTGGATGAATTGAACTGTCGTTTGGAATGGAGGTCTAGTTCAGGGAGAACTGAGTAGAAAGAGCCTGATTACTTCAATTAACCTGGAAGTTTAACTCCTTAGTTTCGTGATTTGAGTATTTCCCTGTTCATGCTTAATCTGTTATCTGAAGTTTCAACACTAATTACCACTCGTAGGTTTTATGGTTGGGATTTGGATGGGGAACAACAAGTATTATTCCTTATTTCATGCGTAACAAGTTTTATTTTGGATTCTTGTTGGAGTAGTCTATGTCTGGAAATTTTCTAACTGTCGCTTCGGAAAATCTCTCTCTATGTGTGTGCCAGCTTAGATTTGTCATACCAATTTATTGTACTCAAAGGTTTTGGGTAGGACTTTTAGTTATCATGATTTCATGTTTTCTACAGGCTGTAACTGCAATGGTGCAACAAGCAATGCAGTATATTGATCAGACACCAGATATTGAAACCCGCATAGAACTCATTAAGACACTGAACAATGTATCTGCTGGAAAGGTGAGATTTGCTGTGCCTAGAGAGTGCCATCTTGTCTACTGTGAGCTGAGTGTGCCTTTTCCCCTTTGTTTAACAAATTCTGTGTGATTCAGATCTTTGTTGAAATTGAGAGGGCACGCTTGATAAAGAAACTAGCCAAGATTAAGGAAGAACAGGGCCTTATAGCTGAAGCTGCTGATCTGATGCAAGAAGTTGCAGTAAGTTTGTTTGCATAGTACTATACCCTGTTCTTCTGTGTTGTATTTCACCGCAATGGTCTTTTGGCCATTGATTAAAAAGTTTTCTGACACTTGTCGGTACGATTGTCTTCCAGGTTGAGACCTTTGGTGCTATGGCAAAGACTGAAAAGATTGCCTTCATACTCGAACAAGTAAGTGTTACCTTATATTCCTTCCACTTTTATTTGTCAGCCCCATTGAATGAATAATTCTTGTGGAGTCCTAGAACTATAGAAATAATTACTAGGGGTTTATGAATAGTGCTGTCAATGTCTTCAGTATTTTTGAGATGCCTGCATGGTAATATCTTATGCTTGATATTAGGACTATTACTCAAATTGGTTCTCTTGCAGGTTCGTTTATGCTTAGACAGGCAAGATTATGTCCGTGCTCAAATTCTATCGAGGAAAATCAGCCCAAGGGTATTTAATGTCGATACTTCCAAAGAAAAGAAGAAGCCTAAGGAAGGCGATAATGTTGTTGAAGAGGCTCCTGCTGATATACCATCCCTGATGGAGCTAAAGAGGATCTACTATGAATTGATGATAAGGTTAGCAGCTGCTCAGTGTTCCCTAACTCTGCTGGAACCTATCATATTTGCATAATTTCTTGAACCGTGCAAATTGGTTTCCCTTGGCTACTCAGAATTTGCTTTTGTAATTACTATTCTAAAGTCGTGCTTTTGTAATGTTTCTAGTTTAAAACTATAAAACGACGAGAGTAAAAAGCCAATTCTCATCTCTTAGCACGACCTTGAAAATATGTTATTCCTATTTCTTCATTGGTCCCCATTAGATGCCTTTTGAACAGTCTGAATCTTTGCTTTCCCACATGTATGCTGCCAATGATACTATCAAAATTAACCACAACTGTGTTATTGGCATTTTCCCCTGCAAGTTTACTTCCACCTGCTTGGCTAGACTCTTCCTCTGCGGTTTCTGATTCATGCATACTTTTATATCTAAGGATTAGAATTTCCTTGTAGATAATAGCCTATTTGCTTTTTTAGTATGCATGGGGTGACATTCGTATTTTCTGATATTTCTAGGTATTACTCCCATAACAATGAGTACCTCGAAATCTGTCGTTGCTACAAGTCAATATATGAGATTCCTGCCGTGAAGGAAGATCCGGCCCAGTGGACACAGGTAACAGTTCGGCTGCACCTTGTTACCCCTCTGATTCTTGTGCTCATCCTCCAGACTGTTCTGATGGATTGGTTCTATAATGCAGGTCCTGAGGAAAATTTGCTGGTACCTGGTTTTGGCACCACATGATCCAATGCAGTCGAGTCTTCTCAATTCCACCCTGGAAGACAAAAACCTCTCTGAAATTCCCCAGTTTAAGTATGTAGTAGTCGCTTTTCAACCAACTTTGATGAGTCAGCAGACAAATACTAATGTATGATGAAAATGTTCTTTCGCAGGACGTTGTTGAAACAACTGGTTACCATGGAGGTCGTTACATGGACATCCCTATGGGATAGTTACAAGGAAGAATTTGACAGCGAGAAGAACTTGCTTGGAGGTTCTTTAGTGGATAAAGCAGCTGAGGACTTGAGGCAAAGAGTAATTGAACATGTAAGTTCCACATGTCTATACTTAAAAACAAGAATTAATTTGAATCTCTTGATGAAGTTATTTATGCCAAGAGTGTTTCCTTCTCATTTTTTGTTCAGAATATCCTCGTTGTCTCTAAATATTACTCGAGGATTACCGTCAAGAGATTGGCAGAGTTGTTGTGCCTCAGCGTTCCGGTAAGTGTTTGTATTTACTTGCTTTTTCTCTTGCCCTATTGATTATTGGAAGATGGTGTTCACAGTCTTACATTTAAGGTTAATAAATGTAAATCGTATTGATCTTCAATAGGATATCAGCTTGGACTCCTTGTACGTAGCTAGTCCGTTAGTGAACTAATTGCAGTTTATCAACTAGAATCTAGCGAGCACTGCCCACTGCTATGTTTCTGTACGAAATAATTGGTTGGCATAGCGTGTGCGGCTTACCGCCCACTGTTTGCAGAATTTAAGCTAGTCGTATAATGCAATGTTGTTGTGGAAGGGGATTTGTATTCAATCGTTCGAAGTGCCCTTCATTTTTGTCTGCTTGATTGAATTTCAGGAAACGGAGAAGCACCTTTCGGAGATGGTGGTGTCCAAGGCACTGATAGCCAAGATCGACAGACCAATGGGAGTTGTCAGCTTCCAAGTAGCGAAAGACAGTAACGATATCCTCAACTCGTGGTCCTCAAACTTGGAGAAGCTGCTCGATCTCGTCGAGAAGAGCTGCCATCAAATCCACAAAGAAACCATGGTTCACAAAGCCGCCCTGAAAGTCTGAAACAGTAAACCAACCCGCGACAAAAATTTCAAGGTACACATTGTCTGCCTTGTTCTCCTTCGTTTATGCTAAACTCATTCTTACATTTGTGGTCATATAAAACCCAACTACCTACTTCAGCCGACTGATTTCTTCAGCTTTCCCAGTTTGGATGCTACGGAAGCTCAGCTATTTGAAAGTCACCTTGAAGAACATTCGTCCTCTCCCCTGACCATGGACGACGATTGATTCATGCACGGCGGCATACTCACTTCACCCTCTTCCTGAGTTTGATTGTCTTTGTTTTGTCAGGAATGTGTTAGTGAGAGATTAGCCAGACAAACTGTTGTATACTTTTCCCGGATTCGCGCACCTCAGTACGCAGTTTTAGAACGCACTGGCTAATGGGACGATTCTAATTATGCTTCTACTCGTTTGTTATTATTTACACCATCGCACAGTGGAAAGAACTTCCTTCGAAGAAAACCAGACAACTTCCGTTCGCCCTCTCAAGTTTGCACTTAATTCAGTTTCCATCTTATGTATGCAGTTTGTTTCGAAAACTCGAGCTTATCGAAAGTTCCTCGTACCAGGTTGACGTGATGTGCTCGCTAATATAACCTCAATAGCTTGTTACTTGAAAGAAACCCATCTTTCATTAGCCTCCAGCGAAAGATTGTAAACCTAAATCACCCACCTCTCGTATTACATTTGCTATGCTTGAGAACAAGAACCGAAACCAGAAGACTATATCATCCTGAAGGCGAATCGCCTTGGCTTCCACTATTACACGACGAAGTAGCAGGCCATGGCGAAGTCTGCTGGAATTCCGGCAGCAGCGGATAATACGGCTGCTGCGTCTGCGATGCTTGGTCAGACGGCTGTGAGGAGGATTGATGATACGACGATGGCATAGAACGATGATCGTAGTACCCTCCGACTCCCAACACCAGCTGAGACGAATTCGCTGGATCGCGGCGGTTCATGTTCAACAAGCCCATGAACTGTGTCTGGTGGTTGCTGTTGTTGTTGTGAGCATAATTGGGAGAAGCAGTAGTCACGGTACTGCTGCTGCTGCTAGTGTTGATGGTCCTGAGCTTGACGTTCTCGGGGAAGTTGAGCTTGGCCTTGCTGCCCCTGAACTTCAGCGCAGCCTCGTCGTACGCTCTGGCCGCCGCCTCCGCGGTGTCGAACGTGCCCAGCCACACTCTGGCGGCCTTGAACGGGTCGCGGATCTCCGCCGCCCACTTCCCCCACGGCCGCCGCCTCACTCCCCTGTACTTCCTCCCGCTGCTGCCGCCTTCCTCTGCTGGTGTCTGATGACCCGAAGATGGAGTGTGTTCGTAGACCACTGTAGTAGTGCTGCTGCTCATCATCGGCGCTGCTGGTGGCGGCGGCAGTGGTAGTGACGGAGGAGTAGCGGCGTTGAACGTGGCGCCTGGTTGACGGAAATGTCATGACATTATTAGTAGTTGAAACTTGGATCAATGGAAGTTTCAGCTCATACCAAAGTTTTCAACTGGGCGAAATTTAATTATTCATGAAAGAATTCTCCGGGGTATTTGGTTTAGGAGGAATTTCAAAGAATTGGGTCAACGTGTAACATTGTACATTAGTTGAAAACCACATGATAGCGTATCGGAAAAGTCAGCGATATATGCTATTTTTTTGCTGAAATCATGATTAAATTGTGGTTCACCTATTATTATACCACTAAGAATCGCCTACAACTTTATATTTCGATGTAAGGATTTTCATGTCGGACCGCCAGTACAATATGGTTTTTATGAATACTGAATGAAACTAGTGTCATTAAATTAAACAATTGATTTTAATAATTCGAGTTGTCAGGATCAACTGGTTAATGACACGATATCAAAATTGGTTTGTCCTAGTAGTCCTATGTTCGATTTTTCACAATCCTCAATATTAATAGTTGACCTAATTACAAGAGTATGGTGAATATGTGCATATTTCAAATTCATCCGTTGGTTTGTTCTAGTAGTCCTATGTTTGATTTTCACGATCCTCAATATTAATAGTTGACCTAATTACAAATTTACAAGAGTATGGTGAATATGTGCATATTTCAAATTTATCGGTTGGTTTTCATTCGCGAGTACATATTAGAAAGTGATATAAAATCTATAATTAGAAGGGATTGAAGTGTTAATCATGCATATACCCATGGAACAGAGGAATATTAAGTCTACCTTGTGCAGCGAATGAAGATGGTGAAGATTGTGCAGCAGCTTGTTGAGAGAGTTCAAACTCATGGCGATACTGATGGAGAGGAGCAGAAGAGGGAGTTTCAAAAAATCCAAACCCGTCATTCTCGTAGCGGAATTGATCACTTCCGTCCGCACCGCCGCCGGAAGCCACGACGTGGGTCAAAGCGGAGACCATCGCATCCATCTCCCTCTCCGTCGACATCAAATTATGCCTCGGAGCCGCCTTCACCACTTCTTCCGCCATTAATGGCGTCACACCAAGCTCACCACCACCATTCCCACCATAATCATCATCTTCTTCCTCCTTCAGCTTCCTCTTACTTCCGTTATTATTACCATAACCACGTCCAGGTTGCATATCACTAACCCACCACCATGCACATGAAAAACAGAGGGGAGAAAAACAGGGGAAGGAAGAAACAGGGGAACTTAACAATGGCAGCTTCTCTCTCCTTTTTTTTTTTTTTTCTTTTTTCCTTCAATGAATGAGTGAAAAGGAAGGGAACCCTTTAAAGCTTTTGCTCCGGCCGACTCGGCTACGGTTCCTTCGTCGGGAGAAACAATTCTCCGAGGCGGTTCAGTGATTCTGGAGCTATCTGAGCTCAGCCTCTGTTTTTTTGCTCATAGTACTGATATTCTTCGGCGAGAAGAAATCCAGAACCAGAAGGAATGAATGAATGAATGGGGGAAGATTAAATAAAATAAGAGAGACTCGACCGCTGGCTTCTTTTAGAGGTTATTTATACATTCGATTCGATTTTGTTATTGTTTATTGGTAAAGAATAGAATATTCTGACTTATGAATTTCCCCTCTGTCTCCTTCTCTCTCTATGTATCATTCATGGTGGTCAAAATGGGTTGTAGGGCTTGGTGTGAACTTGGGAAACAAAGCTTCTTTTTTTGTTTTTTGTTTTTGGGTTCTCTTTTTGATTTTCAGGTTAAGGGGAAGCCATGGGGAAGAAGGATACAACTTGATTATGAGATGGATCCTCCTAATATATAGATATACCACCCACTTGGGCAGAAGAGATAAAATCTGAGTTGTGGGCAAGTTGATCAATTAGGCTCACTTGTTGTCAATGGTTTTACTTTTGGTGACGATATGTGTATTGCGTAGTACCCACTTGGTATGTTGCAAAAAGCATCACAAGCTAAGATCCAATCTGAAATCATCATGACCTACTTATCCTATTTTTGATCCTCAAACGATAAAAATGTATTTTTGTCGCTATAAATTCATTTCGGTAATTTAACTCTTTTATCATCCGACCGAATCATTCAATTGAATCATGTTCACAATAGTAACTGCAATGGAGCAGCAGAGTGAGGCGGGTAGTTCAATATCTGTACTCGGCCCTGCATCAATTGCGGGACAACCTAGTAATACTTGAAAGAGTACGGTTCAACATATCACTCATTCCTAGTTTCCTACATGTTATTTAAAGAAAATAAGCATAATAATTTAATTCTTGTATGATAAAAGTACTTTAGAAATGCAAAACGGAGATAAGATAAAGTACTAACCGATTCAAATCAGTTTTCAAATGAAGGCTTATCCTTATTCAAAGTTTTATTAGGTAAAAATATGATGCAATTAACAATCAAAATAGAAGAAACAGTGAAATGCGAACAAATATTGAGGCAAATCGAAATGAAATGGTCAGAAACAGGCCAAACGGGACGGGAAAAAAAATACTCATACTTCGTTCCATACTACTACGAGTGAAGTAATATCCACACGGTTCAAAATATCATACGTAATTAACAAACATACATGAGTAGAACATATCCTACCAATTCAACCGTAATTTAATCATTTGATTAAGCAAAACAAAAAAATCACATATGTATTTAACAAACATACATGACAGCAACATTATTCTACCAATTCAACCGTAATGCAATCATTTCATTAAATCAAGAAAGATAAAAACTTTGTCATGAACTCATGTGCATATAGATTCGAACCAGATGAATTCCTAAATGCTACGAATTTGTTTTCACTAGTCTCTTTGTTTCTTTTTGCCGACAGGAAGGAAGGGTGTCGTCAGCCCATATTGATATGGCGTGCCATTTGGCTGCCAGCCAACTTGCCCATTTGGCCACACCTGCACCTACCTCTCTCAAACATAGTCTATTGCGATTTTGTCACGTTTCTCTATTATGTGTCTTAAATTAACTGTTATGAGTAGGGGTGGGCACGTGGGTGGTTAATCCGCGGATTGATATCAATCCACCCGCAACTAACCCGACTCGCATGTAGTGGGTGATTGATGTGGGTGGATTGCGGATTGGTAAATCCCCCACCCGCACTTATGTGGGTGGGTGGTGGGTGGATTGCGGGTCACCCATATGACCCGCATCCTATTTTTACATGAAAAATGTGGTTTCTTATAGTATAGAATATTCATCATATTTTCGAACTGCACTACAGTCTTACCATATACTTCAAAAGGTGGAGAATAAATAATAATTTTGACCACTACTATTGGTCATTGTGTTGTGCAATATCCATTAGATATTGGATATTGCTATGCAGATTATTGTTAATAACCATTAAATTGAGATGCAAACTATAAATTATTAATTGTATCAAAATCACAAATTATTGATATAGTCTTACTAATTTGCTATTAACTTATTATAAATGTTAATCAACTTTCTTAATGGCTAGATGGAGAATTGTTTTTGCGGGTTGACCCGCGACCCAACCGCACCCATCCGCCACCCACCCAACCCAACCCGCAGAAGTATGTGGGTGGATTGCGGGTCACAAATATTTCAACCCGCTAGTAAGCGGGTGGGTCAATTTGAGACCAAAACCCACCCAACCCGCCCATTGCCCACCCCTAGTTATGAGTCTTATGACAAACAGTCAGTGTAGGGTTGGCAAAAATGCCAGTTTGATCCGACCCGAAAAGATATAGTAAAACCTCGATCAAAATAAAATATTTGGTGATATGGGTAATTCGAATCCGAATATTATGGGTGATGGGGGTATGATTTTTTTCACTATCAAATTCGAACTTTCCCAGTTATACATGCTTATAAAACATTATGCGTAAATCGCCATTTTTTATTCTAAACTTTTCACTATTTCTAGTATATTTGTAGCCTCTCATGAACATTAACTTTATTATTTCCCTTAGTATTGTGAGTTTTTATTTATATTTTTCACTTTTTTAATGTTAATATATTTGTGATTAGTAACAAACTAGTTGAGAAAATAAATGAAAATATTATTCATGGATATCCGAAATCCGATCAGGTATGGTCATTATTTTAATTTTCTACTCAAATCTTGCACGGACATGCGTATGGATAAACCCGAACTATTTAGGGTAGGGTAATGGATAGTCACTATCCGTCCCCGACCCGGTCTGTTGCCATCTCTAATAAAAACAAATTTATGACAAAGAGGGAAATTGACAAGGAAAAAAAGTAATGAGCACATAGATTTACGTGGTTCACTAATATGATTTGTGTTAGCTAATTTACGTGTAGGAAAGACCAAATTTTCTATACCTACGGAGATACATATAACAAAGTAGTGAGAGAAATACACATAACTATTTTTCCAAACGGTCTAAACCTAATCCACCCCGGAAAAAAAAAATGTGGCAAACCCATATCCAAAACAGGGAAAACATATGCACGCTTCATCCTAGTACCCGACTCTATGACCAGGCAACTAGTTTCTGCGACTTCCAATCGACAGCGAATAATCCGACTTCAAATCATATTATCAAACATTAATTACTTAGATATTTCATTTCCATGGAGTTAGAAAGGGGGGTGGCTGATCGACGTGAAACAGAGCCTTCACATTCATGCCGACTGATCAAAACAGAACGATGGGAATTGTGAAATGCATTGAATCGTAAAAGGGAAAAGAGAAGCACATAAATACAGACAGATCGGCATTTTGCATATGCCAATATGTAAAGTCGGTTTTAAGGTTTCAATACATTCTTGTCGGTAGAAAAACTCTGTATTTTGCGTCAATGTGAATCGCCGGTTAGTCGTTCTCAAACAGGGCGTTCAAGTACAGAAGTATGAAGTGACACCTATTTCTTCATCGAAAGGAAATTACACAAGTACGAAATAAAATGACGTAGGTTTTGTTACTAGTTCCATATTATTAGTACGATATTGTCTGGTTTGAGCCAGGTTACCATGGTTTATTTTTGTGTATCCTTCTCAAAAAAAACTTTGTACTAATTAGGTTGGTGGACAATTATATACAAGGGTCTCTTCTCTTGTATTACTGATGTGGTAATTGGATTGTCCCATGACAACTAATTAATATGTAAAAAAATTCATATCGTCATATACTAACAGTAACACCCCATCTGTCGAAATCCGGCAGCAGCTCCATTAGTACGATATTGTCCATTTTGGGTCAATCCCGCACTGTTTTACTTTTGGGGTATCCTTTCCAAAAAGCTCGTACTAATGAGCTTGGTAGACACTTATATACAAGAGTTTATTCCATTTGTATTAGTGATATGATACTTGAATTATCCTATAACACCAACAATTTTAACAATTTGTCTATCGTCACAATCTTAATCCAAATTAACCAGACTTAATTAGATTGCACAAAACACTTAACTACCTATATCCTCCTAGGCCCTAGCCTAGGGGGGATAGAAGTAACCCCAAGCTAGCCAAAACAAGTTGGAAGTTGGCATTTTTCAACTTTTGACTTGCTAGCTAATCCAACGCATGGAAGCTAGTATATCCATAACCATACGGAACGGACCACTCTATAATTTTGTAGTTCAATATTAATTTAAGGGCTATGCTATTCTTAGATGTTGTTTATTCATGCATATTTGTATGACAGAACGTGGATGATATCAAGTCAATTAATATGTTTATGTATAACGATATACGAGTAGTCGATTGTGACATAAGAGGAAGATATATGGATATGTGAACTCAATTATCCTAAAAAAGAAATATAGACACATATCATATTCGTTAATTTAAACTTGATATAGTTAATAAAGCTGGTTATACAAAAACGGTAGCGAAGAAACTATATAAGTATGTGATTATATTGTACAAACCCAGTATATAGGATATGAGCCGACAGTATCAAGACCGATTTTTGTTTAACATCGGAAATTTTAATATCTATTTAAATCGGATCAAGGCGAGTTGGTAACTATACAAATCGAATCAAAATTATTACACTTGATTCAATAATGATTTTTTTTTTACAAAAGATAATCATATATTGATACCAAAATATAGATAGTTACACCCTAGATCCAAGCCAGGTACGAAAATCAAAAGAACGACTCATAGTCGGGTACAAAGAGAGGGCTTTCCTAGCCACCAAATGGGCTACCCTATTACTACTCCGACCTATAAATCGCACACTAAACCCAGGGGTGCTACCAATATAATGTAAGACTTCTTCCAGCACAGCACCCATCCGATTATCCCTAGCATCCTTGCAATTGATTTTATCAATGAAGACCTTGGCATCCCCTTCAAAGCGCATCCCCGTGAAACCCTGACCCACACACCAAGTAATGGCCTCCCGGAGCACAAGCAACTCCACGACCACCGGGTCAT